AAAATACACAATTACACTCTCCTTTTTCATCTCACACAACTAGCTAAAAACAACATAACAATTTCTCCTTCTCTTTAAATTACAATCTTTCCTTTTTCATATACTAGTACATTTATATTTATTTATAACTTACTCCCCAAAACTCCTAACAATCTTACAATAAATAGCCTTAAAAACAACAAAATCTTATTCATCAAACAAATTACAACTGCAAATAACAAATTTCTTTTTTTCTGGAACAATATTTATCTTTGTACAAACAAAGCAACTAGAGGCTGTCAACCAGTATAGTTTACTTGGCTTTTACAAATAATACAAAACAACTCTTTCTAATCTATATAACTACATCTTGAACTACCCCAAACAAACTGTTTTATTAACACAACTGATCTTATACCCTTCTCAAATACAAATTTTCAGTTCCAACTCTTTTCTATTGACCAAGACAGAATATTTCTTCAATATTCTAATCCCCAATACATACTCTTTTATAAAATAAACCAAACTGATGAAATATCTACTGGACAAATATATTTAACAGAAACTTCAAATTTTTTGTCTAATTTTAAATTCATAAATCTTCTATATCAGAAAAAATTTTTTAGTACTATTCTGCGCAGATTTGCAAAAAAATTAAATAATATATTAAATAAAAATCTGTGCAAAACTTCAGACTCACTAGCTATAGCTAAAAAAATTAAATACAGTTCTGCACAAAATTTTAAAATATAAGAAATTTTGCAGTTTTTTTGCAAAAAATTCAGCAAAAATCTGCATTTTTGCAGGTTTTTGCAGATTTGCATTTATTTAATTCTCCCAATGTATATAAATGAGCCAAATTCAATAAACTCTTTTTACAAATAGATTACAAAGAATTAACTGCTATACTAGATATTACTCCTGATTCCAACTTACCTCCAACCTCTTCTCCTCAACAACCTCATATTCATATCTTCTTTCGTGAAATACAATTAATATACTATATAATTAAAACTCCTTTTTACTAAAACCAATTAATTAGAAGAACTCTTTCCAACGATCACTTGAATCATATTTTCCAAAAAAGATTTTACTGCAAGAAAAGACCTTACAATCCAGCACTTGACCTAAAAACCTAGACAGTAAGATAGCACCTGTCGTTTAGAAGTAGTTCTCATATACTACTTGCCGACAGGCTTAGAGTTTATCACTCACTGCATAGTCTTGGCACTTGTCGTTTAGAGGTAGTTCTCATACACTATCTGCCGACAAGCCTAGAGTTTATCACTCACTGAAAAAAAGGTTAAGCAGGTATTGGGCAGTGGGTTTTGACTGTAGAAAAGAAAACTCACACTCCTTTAAATTGGTTTGAAGCTCAAGTGATCTCTCTTTACCTCTCATCATTTTTCCATCGGTCTCCAAAAATTTTTTCATAAAAAGTGGAGATTTGGTTTACCCCCTTCAAAAGATCGGCATTGTTTACTTACTAAATCCAGATGGACCGGTAGATAGCAACTATGTGTTTGGAGACAAATATATTGTACAGGCCCTGGAATGAGTCCTAGTCAAAAAAGAAATTCCTGGTAGCAGCACCAAGTGGCTTGAGATACAAGTACCCGAGTGATGGCACCTTTACGGAAATGTCATGTTTTTGTCGTCGTTGGCACCGTATATGGAAAGTCAGATCTTAGTACTGCGGCAGCACTTGGTTTGAGATACGGTCTAGATTATTAAAAAGATTCAGAATTGGGTCAGAGGGAATTTTAAGATTAAGCTTAGACTTACAACAGAGATATACAGATGTTGCATCTGGTATATAATTTTTAAATCACCTAGCACGGGTTATAATAGTGTATTCAGATTGCTTAATTTTGTCTTTTTTCTGCTTGTTTCATCTATTTTCATTTATATTGGAATTGGTTTAGGTTCCCTTTTCCTTTTTTTTATTTGTTTCATTTTTTCTTTTGTTTCAGTTTTTTTTTTTTAGAACAATTTCTATTTTTTTTTGGTTATAAGGGAGCTTTTAGAGAGTTTCTTTAAATGTACTTTCCTTCATAATGTTGACATATATGTTAGTTTTATGTAGAAGTAGGAGGTAATATATATAATCTGCTGGGATTTAAGTGGATTGAGTTTGGGAAGATATTACTAAAATTTAAGGTGAGATAACTCAAAAGAAGGGATTAGCTCTTAAAAGAAGTCTTTTTTTTGTAAATTGGTATATATGTTTGCGCTATGCAGAAGTAGGAGAAAATATATTCTGCCCGAACATTGGTAGAATAAGTTTAGAAGGAAGGTAAAATATAATTGGTTCAAATTTAAGTAGCTGAGTACCATGCTATAGCAAGTTTTTAAATACGGGTAGCACTGTATGTGAAGCTTGTTGGCAAATATCAGTGCAATAACCATACTTGGGCACTTTTATAGCAGCCGGGTAGTTGCCTAATATATAAATTAGATAGTTAATTTTGTAAATTACAAAAACTCTAATAAATTAGTGTGAGGTTATCAAAGGAAAAAAAAAAAAAACCAATTAATTTAAATATATAACAAAATTATAACTTTAAATACAACTAATTTCTTATTTTATACTGATGCCTCTATTAAAAACCTCCAAACTTCAAACATACAATCTAGCATTGGCTAGATTTGTGAAAATGATCTGTCTATTAAATTCAATACAGCAATTTACCTCTTCCCAGACTCTTCTCGTTTTGAATTATTTGCAGTTATCTCCCTTTACCAATTAATACTAAAGTTATTATCTTTATTGATAACATATTAGCAATCAATAACCTGCTTAACCTCTCTCCTCCCAAACTTATTCAAAACAAAAACTGGAATATAATTACAATTATAAATTCTATTAGCTAACTAAAAATATCTCCATTATCCCTATTAAAATAAAATCATATTCATATAGCTCTATACTGATTTATTGGCCAAACAAGGCTTAAACAAACCTATTCTTGAAATCTCCTATATATACTTCAATCTATCTACTTACTTTTCCTAGAATAATCATATTATAACTTTCAAAATATACTTTTTTATCAAAAATATTACTACTATTCAAAAGCTTATTTCATGATCTTCTCTTAAATTCTTTGATAACTATACATCAAATATAAACTGGAACATAACCTTTAAAATACTTAATTCTCTAGAATATGATTCCTCCAAATACTCTTTCTATATCAAAATTTTGACAAACAACCTTCCAACTATGCAAAATCTTAATATCTGCTATCCAAATCTATATACAACAAATCAATATTGCAAATGCTCTTCAACCAAAGATACTCTTCACATACTTTTATACCCCAAAAATACTGAAAATATTCAACAATCACTCATCAATATAACCAATAATACACTCTATCAACTTCAAATAAATATCCTTGCTATTTCACTCCTTAACTCTCTCTTACTCTTTACAATAAACTTTTCTAATATACAATCAAACTTCCTTTTTCCTGCAATTCTTGGAGCATACTCCAAACCAATATATCATAGTACTAAAATTCTGCTTAATAGACAAACTGAACTATTTCTTATTAATTTCTCCAAGAACCTTTTAAATTGGTTTCATCAAGAAATATGGTCTAAATAAAGCCTCTTTTAACATCAATAGGTAATATTACACCAAAAACTAAATACTCTAAATTAACTCTACCATTTATCAACAATTAAACCAATATATATACACCTCATTCTCATCAAATAAACACACATAATGCTATTGAAAAATAATACCTACAAGGTTTTTCTCTACTAACATGCTTTTTATAATATCATGATTATCACCCCGGGTTTTTCTCCAACCTACCCTAGCTAGAACTATTTTATTTATCTAATTTAGTAATAGCAATAAAATAGGAAATAGGAGGTGTAATGTTATATTAAATGCTCAGCAGCACAAATGTGGTTAGAAATCTTTAATAATAGAAATTTTTCCTTAAACCATACCTTCCTTAACTCAGCTATTGCCAAATTGAAGAGACTTGTTAGCCTGATCAAATAATTTATTTAACCTCTTACCCAAATCTAGTTTTGAAAAAAGGAAGAATATTAATCTTTAGATTAATTTAGATTTTTTGTAATAAAGTTTTTACTATGGCATTATATTAATAAAAAAAAAAAAAAAAATTATATATACATATTCAAGAGTTATTAATTAAAATTTTATTTTTTATTTTAGTTTTTTGTTACATGTTATGAACCTGGAGTTAATAATGAAAACAATCAATCTAATAATTTAGTTTTACCAAGTTCTATTTGTGATCCTATCAATAGTAATGAATTTTGAAGAAATGTATTAGCAATTAAAAAGCTATTATTACCTTATTGTGGATATTTGAATCTTTTTTTTTTTTTTTTTTTAATATTAAAGGTGAGACCATGCTCTTATGATATTTGAATCTTTTACAACAAGACAAAGCAAAGTTGTATGAAGTTTTCATTCATTTGATATTTTGATTAACCTTTATCAGAACTTTTAGATTATAACTTTGGTTATCAACTTTGTAAATAACTTAAATTCTGATAAAAGCAATAGGAGCAACTAATTATTATATTGTTTGGATTCTTCATCCTGTATATTGATTTAATCAACTAAATACACTTTCAAAATTAAACTGGGTTAATTTAGGAGAATTTTTTTTATATTATTATATCATATGAACCAATTCTACACCTATTACTATTTTATATAAATTTAATAACTATAAAATGAAAAAATATTCTTTTAATAATACAATATTTAAGCAATTTTGATGATGATATTTTTGCATATTGGAATTGGGGTTCGGGTAAATGTAAAGAACTTGGCTTTGTTGCATGTAGAATTATGAGTATTTGTATAAATACTACATTTGTTAAAAGATTATAATCATCAATGGGTCATTTTCATTCTGCAAAGCAAAATAAATAAATAATTTTTCATAAAATTTTATTTAAATTTTAATACTAATTTTTATTATAGAATACAAAAGTACTTGCTATAGCACAAATTAAATATAATGAATCAAGCTTATAAAAATCATGAATTAGAACAAATCAAACAGATTTATAAATCTAAAATCACTTTAATTTTACCAACTGAAAATAAAAATCAAGATTTAGAAAATGAAGATAATCAATCAGATATATCAGTAGAAAATAATGATAGTGAAAATGAAATAAGTAATAGAAATTTAAATATGAAAAATATCAATCAATTTAATCAAATATTAGATTTATAAAAATCAATATTAACAAATGAAGATATAGAGAATTTAGAAGATTTAGAAAATTTAGAAAATGAAGAACAAAAAGTAACTATAGAATTATTATAGTCTTTTGAATATCCACAAAAAAATAAGTATACCAAATAAAGATTAGAAGATTTGTTCAATAGTCAATTAGATTCTCTGGCTTATATTAACAAATTATAAATTTTAACTACTTTGTATTTTTAAGTTGTTTTAGTTACTTTTATAAGAATTTTTTCATTATATAATATACAAGTTTAATAACTTGTATAAACTAAAATTTAATAAATAATAAATAATAACTTGAAAGTTCGAAATATTATTTTTTTGACAATATTTATAAATAAAATGCTTTTAATTATATACAAGTACACTCTCCTGACAGAGGTCACCAGAATTTCAATATTTCAATGATCTAACCTGATTTGTTAATGATCGTAGTTACATATAAAATGATTTTTTTTTATATGTGAATTAGTCATTGTGCAATAAGTAAAGTTGTTTGCCATAACGATTTGCATATAATTTGAGAATTTTAGAAAATTTTATTAAGTTTTTTTTGAAAATACTTCATATTTTAAATGCCTGTAAACAAAAAATAAACAATAATAATTAAAATTATTATATTTCAACACATTTTTGAACTCTTTAGAATTTTTTTATGAAAATTTAATCCTATATTCTTTAGAATTTAGAGAACAACTTTCATTAAGTCAATAATTAGTGTTAACAATACAGTTATTCCAGAAATGATGTATTTAATAAAATTTTTAATTTTAAAAAAATACTATTTTTTGTATCTTAAAATTTATATAATGAAATATTGTAAAATTATATATATATATATATTTTTTTTTAATCTTCACAGGAATTGCTGTGGATTTGCTTTTTATTAACAACATATATATAAACTATATGCATTTAATTTATAGAACTACAAGCCCAACTTCATTCAGTTACCTTATGGTCTTTAATGCAACCCATTGCACTAACTCACGGACAAGCTAGAATTATTTTATCAAAAAATCTATAAAAAACGAAAACGAACTATGACTAAAAAGGAGATGTAAAAAGAGGGAGTAGGGGAAAATGAATGAAATATAAAAATAAAAAACCCCAAAAAAGAAAAAACAGGAAAAAATAAAAACATTTTATAGAAAAAAGATAATAGTTTGAGAGAAATTTCACCTCTCTACATAACCAGAATGCACTATTATAACCTGTGCAAAGCTGAAAAAATTATATAACAAATGCAACGATTGTATATCTCTAATGTAAAGCTTTGCTTTAATATATAAAATTTTCTGACTTATGACCACTTTCAGATATCTCTTTAACCGGAGGTCCCAATCTAACTTCCCCGGGATAGCACCGTATTTGTAAACAGACATATCACGTGGTTGTATTCTACTGAGTTCATTCAAATTTGGAAAGTAAACAATGCTGATTTTTTGAAGGGAGTAAGCCAAATCCCCACTTTTTGTAGAAAATTTTGGAAGACTGACAAAAGAGCAAGAAAGGACCCCAGACATCTTCAATATAGGTCATAACTGATCTGCATGAATTTTGAGGTTTTTGCTACCTCTAAAATCAAATAAATTTGCTAAAAATTCACATCTATTTTTAATAAATATAAAATTAAATATGCTGGCATAATATATTTTTGTGTGCTGAACAAGTTTACCTAGAGTATAAAGTTAGAATTAATTAGTAAATTTTGAGAATCATAGCATTTTTAGTATTTTTACTAATAAAATTATACAAAATATTAAGATTCTCAAAATTTTACTAATTGATTTTAACTTTATGCTCTAATAAACCTTGTTTAGCACACAAAAATACATTATGCTGGCATATTTAATTTTATATTTCATGAAAATTTAAGAGAAGATGCTTAATTTTGGATATTTTGATCAAAATATTCAAAAT